GGGGGGGGGGGGATAGCGCAGTAGCTGTGTAGACTAGTATTACTAGATGACTCAGCCGTGTGCGTGTAGAAGAAGAAACGATGTGAAAAGTATGAGAAATGACCGCCATGTTTTTCGACGTCCGATTTACAGGGATGATGAATATTTTAACATTTTTTATGGATGGCGGAGGGACCACATCGAGACAAACACCGTCGTTCGTTGCCCTCAGTCCTGGTGGCATCAATAGAGCTTGAGAGACGGATTAGGTAAGTGTCGGGAAAGTGAGGCAAAATGAAGCAGACACACACAAACTGCCGCCCAAATAACGCTTAAAAAGCTTCCGTTTTCCGAGCGTTCTCGCCATTGGTTGACGCATTATTTTCCGTTGCTGTTCAGGGTGGTGGCGGATTGCCCGCCCATCGACCAGAGAGAACCCGGGCGAAAACTAAGAAGACTTGGGGGAGGCGGGGGGTCGTTTGCAAGAATTTGCAAGCGCACTGACTGTCGTCAAGAACATGTTAACGTCCTACCGTCTGTCTGTTGGTTTTTGTTGTGGTTCCGGGGGCCCACTATGAAAGGGGTCTAAATACTGCATGTGCGTGTGTGAGTACGTACACTGACTGGAATTTCGGGCGCGCTCCCGAGTGCGGGGCAAGCGTTGGTTCCGCCAGAGAGAACGTGAGGGAAAGTATACCAATATTGCAGGTCCCGAGGCCACCATGCCAAGAGCTCCGAAACGAGCCACGGCCGCAGGATACGAGGACCAGGTTAGAGCATCAACGGCTTTTGACCAGAGCTGCAAGCATCAAGGGCCCACAAGCAAGCATCCCTGTGTTTGATGTTGCTATCGTGCACGTGTACCCACAACAAGGTGTCGCCAGCAAGGTGGCGCTAAAAAATTGTCAACCCATGAAAAATATTTGGTCATTTCTCTTGGTACACCAACAAAAATACCAAGACTCAAGAAAATACTACCATCGAGAGCACCATCGAGCCCATAACGCCATTTGTACAACCCTTGACCCACAAGCTAAATACCTACTTTAGTTATTTGGTACCATTTCCCGCCAAATACTTACCGATCTAACAAAAATAACCAAGCACTCTCTTCGACACAAGCCACACGGGCGTAATGCAAATCAACTCCAGAATTTCAAATGCCCAGGACGGGGAGCACCCCGCACAAAAGGTTACAAGCTGGCTGAGTCTACTAAGTAGTGAAAAATTCCAGGGAACTCAGAAACCTGTGACTACGGCACACTGACATCGCGGGCACTCAAGTTAACTCCTCACGTGACGTCCTGAAGCCTGTGACTAATCAAGGTACAATTGCCTCCACCCTATGATCAACGATCACCGGGTGTTCCCGTAAAAAAAATGCCTCGAAGGAAACCAAGAAGTTGGGATAGACAACCTTGACTTGCATCCAGAAATGCGCTGAAAAAGCGTTCATTCAACACTTCGCTCGCCAAACCCCAGAAAGCTAGATAATAGACGGGGGTGTTGGTGCTATTCCAGCTTAAGGAATGAGCAGCTAGCTCGTGCTGCGTGAGATTTTGCTGTTTATATGTCAAAAAATCTGGATACCACCTTCAACCCGCTCTCTTTGATGGTTGTTTCAAAATGCACCGAATGCGCCTGTGCCGAAAGTCCCGCCAGCATGCGGCCGGGGCCCTCGTCTGGCCGATGCAGTCGGGTTGCTGCTCACGCCACGGATCGCCGAACGACGAGGGGGAAGCGGGCGTTAAGGTTTGTTCGACCAACAACGAGCAGAGGGAAGAGTGGCAAGCACGGTGCAAGACGAAAAACACACATCTCGCAACCTATTTTACTTGCCATGACAAACATTTCTTGCAGGCTCCTGCAGGCGCCAGAAAAATGGGAGGAACACCAGGTGTTTTGCGGCTTGCGCCGCCACCCTGAGTGAAGCGAGTCACAAGGCGAAGGGTGATTGGCGTTGGAGTTGTCAACTTGGTCTATTTAACTGCTGTCGGTGTGTTTACATGTACCGAGATAGGAAGAGTGCTGAAAGCGCGGATGCTCCAAAAATGCAGAAGAAATGCAAGTACGGAGTGTACCGCTGCTGACTGCTGTGCCCTGATCGACTCCTACAAGTGAGAAACATTTTGCAGCTCTGTAGGGCCACCTGTGTGGAAACGGTGGCTGCACGTCTTTTGCGCAATAGTGGCATGATTGACACCCCTATCTCCCATGTCGACATGACATTGGTCTGAAACGTTCCCGTTGCGCTTGGCGGGTTGCGGCACTTGGCGCAATGCTCGGGAATCATCCGTATGGAGTCCACAAACTAGATTTGTGCACACTTCTTGGCGCGGAAGCGGTTGTTGGTGAGCAGGCGAGCGTTGGTAGTCGGCCTGCGGGGTGCAATTGACAAGTTGCCGACGGAGAAACAAAACTCGTCCTTTGTGTATAGTGTGTCATACGTCACCAGACCTGGGCAACTTGTAGCAGAAAAAAAAGGGAAGGAGTCCTTGATTTGGGCCACTGAAAGCCGAAAAGAAAAAAACACTTCCCGAAGGGTAGCACCCGTCCATTTCGTGCCACTTCAACGACCCCATACATCCGGCACCATGACTGCTGTACACTACTTTCATAAGGAATAGCATGACACCCCCTCTACCTAACGATGAGTGTGACAGCACCACATATCTACACTCTGTTGTGTGACAATGCGCGGCGGTGAAAAAACACGCAGAAAGAAGCAAAATTACTGAGTTGCCGCATATTTCGGAGTTAAAAAAAACACACGAAAAGGATGAAAGGCGCAGAGCACCCACGGCACGTCGCTGGAAAAACCGTAAGTGCATCCAGGCACCATCATACGGCATGTCTACATTCTTTTCCGTATGAGCCAAGAGAGAGAGAGGGGGGGAGGATAGAGAAGGAGGGATAGAGGAGCGAGTAGAGAGATTGAGATATCGCGCCAGACGTTCGCAAGCCTAAGGACAGGAGAAGATGCATCGACGCAGTACGTGCATGTTGCTACAAAGGCTAGTGTATACACATGTAGTCATGCAGAAAAAAGCGCAGAGACGGAAACGGTTAGGGAGATAGCACCGGTCGGGGAGATGGCACCGGTGTGTGAACAAGAAAACAAGAACTACATGAATCAATTCGATTTTCTCACAGCGGTCGGAAAGATCGCACCGGCCGGAGAGATTGCACCGGGGTGCCAAAACAGAACGAACAAAATATACTCCATATATATCGAACCCGGTGGCATCTCTCCACCTTTGATGGTATTTGCACCAGACGTCGACTAACCTACCACTGGTGGACGGGCACTACACGGCCCTAGGTTTGCTAGAGGGAGCTGTATTGCCTCAGTAACCTGGCTTCGCCATCAAAGGAGGAGGGAGCAGGTGGCGACGAGCTGAACTGGGCTGGTTGACCATTCGGCGCGAGAATTTTTATTTTTTTCAGACCAAGAACCTTGAGTGCAATGAGGGAGAAAGCGAGGAACGGACTGGGAAGGACAGCAACGAGAGCGTGTACGGACGGAGCAGGTCGAGTGGCGTTTTGCTCGGGCTGACTACAGCGGCGCCGGATGGAGCAATGGCACCGGAGCATGCGGGCGACATCGACCCGTGGCGCACGGACAAACATTTGTATCTGTGTTGTCAATTTTTTTCGTTTTGTTTCTGACTTTCCGTGTTGGTTTTGTGTGATGGCGTCGTCACCGGTTTTGTAGAGAGACCCGTCAGAGATGGCGTGGCTAACCCGGGTGCATTGGTTTTGTGCCTGATCGTGGAAGACCCCTTCAATGTGGAACGATTCTTAGCTAGTGTCGATATTTTTCACTGCAGTGCCTACACAGACGATCGGGAGAGATTCGGGTGATTGTCAATTGCTGCTATGATGGCTTTGGTTGGTTGTTCTTTTTTACTGTACGGCCGCAGACACATTCTGACAGCACTTCAGACAGCGGCTTTGTGCCACGCCAGCTGCTTGTTCCATGCCCACCATGGTGTTTTTGTACAGACAGCACTTCAGACAGCAGTATGCTGTAGTCGGCAATCTTCCGTTTTGGTAAAGAGTGGGACAGGGAGGGGGTGATGCTACTGCTGTAGTCTAACGGTGGGATGGACGTGCAGTTCAGTTTTTGGGCACGCATACGGTGCTGCAGGGATTTTTAGGTGTACCTCTTCGGGCTCTTGGATACCTTTTTATCGTATATGTGTGCGTGTTCTTTAGATCCTCAGATGGCTCTAGCACTTTCGTGACCACGGGCTGAGAGTCTTCGCTAGATTTTGGCATTTAGCAACTGACATACGGTTTAATGTGAGGACAACAACAACAACAACAACAACCTGGTGTGCTTGCAGAAAAGGAGGAATGGATAGCACTACCTCTATCTGTCCACGTGGGTGTCAAAAGATCGCCACACTCTTCGCATATGCGCCACGACGCGGGAAAAATGAGAACGCACACACTCACAGATTATAGCCACGGATGTGTTGAGAAAGCACTACAACCCGCTGTGCATTGATCTGTCGGAAAGCACGGCATGGCATACACCCCAATGGAAGACGAAGCAAGCGATGGCGTGGCGGCCGAGAGAGCGGCTGCCTCGCATCCCGAAAAAGACTCACTTGTTTAGGTCGATCGGTGTTGCCACGTTCACAGGGGCGGCCGTAGCGTGTCCGGTTGTGGCGGGGGCGTACCCCACGTCCCCTACCGCAGTTGCAACCAAGGCGCCCCCCGCCGTCGCTCCCCCCCCCCCCTGCCCGTCCGCCGGTACCGCTAAGTGTTTGAACAGAGAAACATAGGGCACAGAAAACGCGGAGAAACAGCAACAAGGATAAGTGGACGCTCTCGCGGTGGGCGTACATTCAGCGCGACTTGGAAGAGAGAGATATGGGGTGAGGGAGACGCCGGAGACCCAACTACCCCTGTTGTGCTTTTTCGCTCGCATCGTCAACACCCGCGCACCGTACTCTACTGCCGCAGCGCGTGTGGATTCTTGACGCGTGCGCCCAAAAATCACAAAAGAGTGACATTCATGTATCGTGGTTCTCCCGCATGGCCGTGGTCGCATGGTTGAGGGTTCTCCGTGCTTGAGGAGAACGAGAGGTACGGGCCCGGGTTGGTTGTGTCGAAGACGGTATCGACGCGCAGCAAACGATGGTGTCCTTCTCTGCCCCCCTCGCCCCCTACATTAACTCAAACGAGGGTTGATAACAGTAGCAGCAGCGAAATTTCGAGTGATCGGCGACAGAGCACGGCCGTCATACCAACCATGTCCTTGATCACGTTGTCAAATTCTCCAAGAACCAATTACGACGGCATCATCTTTCTCCAAACACCACCAACAACCTGGGTCGTCCGGGACAATTTTTCCATGCACGTATTGTGCGATAGCTTCCTAAAAGAAAGAGTTGGAACGTGAAACAACGATATTCGTGATCGCCTCGTCGAGCTACGTCGATCGCCTCGTCGAGCTACGTCGATCGCTGCAGAGTTTTTTCTTTTTTGAGAAAACATAACATTTTTGGCCAAGATGATCCACGGAACCCCCAAATCACACCACGGTAATTCCCAGGGCTTTCTAGCTCTGGACCAATTGTAACTGCTTTGTGAATACTCATGTGGATATGGTATGCATATCAAACACCACGTATCCTTGTGTATTTGTACAAGCATTATACACTCAACCTCTCCGATCACATGCATACTTACGCATACTTAAATACACATGAATATGGGTGGGGTGTGTGCGTGCGAACTTTTCGTCTCACAGCGTCAAGCAAATAATTGAATATCTCATGAAATTCATGTTTCTTGAAAAATCCGAAATAAAAGGCCATCCGGGAACTTCGAGAGGAATCGTTTGCTGCGCTTTATTTTCAAATCGTCAAGTTGGTTATCGCAAACGATTGTGGACAAAATACCGTGTCAGAATCGATATATGGGGCATAACTTCGTCGTTTCTTTACATTTTTATACCGGAAATCCAGCTGGCAAATTCCGAGAGCTGCCGAAATCCGGTCTAAGATTCTCCCTCTTGACAAGTAGACCCTCCGGCAGATGATGAACGAACATTTCTGGTCATTTCGAAATAACAAGTCAAGGAACAATTCAAACAAACGTTCTTTATACTGCTGCGCCTTGAGACAAGGCTTTTTACGGTGCTTTTGAGATTCGGAACAACCCCTCTTACCCCGAGAAAAGTGCACCTACGCGCAGAGTGTATCGGAAGCCCATGACGGCCCATACGAGCCGTTTGGTATACTCAGTGGCGACCCCGTTCAATGAGGTCTCTTGACGTGTGGTTGAGAGAACGTGTTATATGACGGAGCCCCTTGATGCTTCGAAATGTGGAGTGCCCACTCTCTCTGCTCTGGGCGTGGATGATGTAGGAGGGGTTTGAGTCAAACAACGCACAAGTCTCCTCAAGCGGCGTCCGTATGACTGACAGTGTACGCACGACAAGCCGGGCGGGCAAACACAAGCCCCGCCCCCAAAATAGAAGAAGCATAGCGCACAGCAGTGCTAAAGTTACCTTTCCGCGTGATGCTTGCGAGTACGTACGGGGATCATCTCTTTCAGACAAGACCCCCCTCCTTCAAAGCATGGACCGAAGAGACCACCTCGATTGCAGAGAACCACACCAACGCCGAAGGAAGCATAACAGCACACACCAGCACCCAACCAACAATCAACACTCTACAAGCCAAAGCATATCGCCACCCCAACCCCCACCAACAACAATCACAACACAATCACCTTCGGCGACAACCGACGCGTACTGCACTCCTCCCGCCCCCGCCGCCGCGACTCCCGGCTCCTCCCACGCCGGCCGAGCCTCGTCCCACTCGCCCGGCCCTTGCTGCGGGATCGTCGGGGGAAGGTTCGCGCCCCCCCATCGCCCTCTCAACAGGAACTCCTGTCCGGTGGCCCTGGCGATGTCGGCCACCGAGTTTCCGGCCTCGTTGAGGCAGTTTCGGTTGAGCCGATCGCACCTGATTGGCAATCGCGGCGAGATTTGGGGGGCACATGAAACGGCTAGCATACCTGGGGGTGGGCAAGTCCAGCAACCGAAGGTTATCGAGGCGACTCATTGCATGACCGGGATTACAGAGTTTCTGAAGGGAGGACGGAACGCAACCGCGGCTACATAGGCGACTGCTGCAAAGGAATTAGCCTTGACAGGAAAATGGACGAGAAAAAACAAGACACATTCCTTCCTTCGTGCCAGCAACATGGGGCGCTTCACCCTCTGCCGAGCTGTCTATGACCAAAGCTGAGCAAAATCGCATCCATTCTTCGTTCCAGCAACAAAGTCGTTTCACCCTCTGCCGAGCTGTCCATGACAACGCCCGAGCAAAAACAACGAACAGCAAGGGCAACAGACACAAAAGACGACGACACCGTGAGCTCACCCCAGCAAAAACGCCGCTTCTTCTTGCTTGCGGCACTTTAGCGCCACCATGACCAGGGTATCCCCCCTATTCGCGCCCTCCCCGTCCGGGACCCTCCACGACTCGCGAGCACTAAAACCCAGGTAGATTCCAAGCGGCTTTACTTGCACCTGGTCGATCGGCACGTATGTGAATGTGATCAAGTCTTTTCGGGGGAAGGGGGGTGCTGCTGCTGCTGCGTGGTGTGTGCGTACGCATCGTCACTCCAAATTAATGTTGGTCTCTTGGTGGCATCAGTTGTTCCTGTTTTCGGCATGTTTTGCACCGCACATGCCGGGGTTGCGCAAAAAGGTGGAAAGCCACCCAGGACAATACTAGGCCACACACATATGTAGCTCTAACTCCCTTGTGCAACGTTTTTGTTGCGGATGGTGAAGGCCAATAAGTGAAGGCTTACGAGGGGGTTTCACTTGCCCTCGGCGAACAACGCCCGGTCCCGCACACCGCACACCCACTACATGACTTAGCATACATTAATGCAATTGTCCGAAAGTATTGAGGAGGTGGACACGTGGTTCCGAACAGCTTGAATTTATCTGTCGAGGACATGCGCTGGGTATTTAGGATGAGAACGAACCTTCACTCCAGCACGTTATCCGGCGGCTGCGCTATTATAATGGCGAGCCTACAACAAGGCGACGGAAATAGTACGAAAAACTCACGACTGCCATACGATGCCAATAGAGGGGCAGCATGAGCGCAATAGCAATCATGGACTACACGCACACGAATTTGTCGTCATGGGTTTGGTGCCATGCGAATGGAGGAGACACCCTAGGCGAAGGCTTCTTTAACTTTGACGGTGGTATGCTGTATCAGCTCGTAGAGACGTTGCCACGTTTTAAGCGGCGGAACTTGTGCACGTGTTGTGGCGGGCTATGGTACTGTAGCAAGAAACACTACGTGGCAACTAACCCAACTCGAACCACATTACCGTTGATCGCAGCAGCAGAAACACCGCGTCCAACAACAAACAACCTCACAACAACGACAGCAGCAGCAACAGCTGCGGGACCCTCTTACCCTTAGGCCCCAGTGCTCGCGACCGCCTATCATCCAGCGGTCGAGGGGCCAGTTAACGTTCGCCCCCCTGTCGTAAGCCTTCCGTGCTTTCGTGAGATCGCCGGACTTTATGGCCCGAAAGAGCTCCACTTGCGCTTTCTCCATCTTTGGTCCCCCGTTGCTAGAGAGAGAGAGAGAGAGAGAGAGAGAGAGAGAGAGAGAGAGAG